AGACGGGCTAACGTTAGCCCTGGCTGCTGGAGACGGGCTAACGTTAGCCCTGGCTGCCGCAGACGGGCTGACGTTAGCCCTGGCCGCTGCAGATGGGCTAACGATGCATGCTGGGTAAAAAGGGAGGGGCCAGAACAACATCTGGGGACTTTGTCTGCTTTTGGAACTAGGGCTGAGGCTTATGGCCTTTCACTAGTGCAAAGAACGCACAAGTACACATTTTGAGAAACGGCCGTAGACAGGTATGGGGCATTGCAGGCTAACAAAGAAGCGAAACGACCCCCATTCCAAAGGGGGGGACCCGTTCATCCGTTTCTATCTGCATGTTTTCTAAACTAAAACCAGGCTTTGTTGGGCTGCTGGATAAAACCTGGAACTAAACGCTATTTCTGACATTTTGGATTGAAAAAGCTTCCTGGATGGAAGAGAAACGTCTTTAAATTTGGAAACCAGTGGATTAAAAAACAAAAAAAACTTTTTTGGAAGGGTTCATTTGCTTCTCTGGTTTTCATGTTTTTTTCTTTAGCTAAAACATTTTAAAACCTGCCCTGATTGTGGTTTAAATAGAGGAACTGAGGTCAGTGACCTTTGCTACGTGCGTTTCAAACAATGAATGGTTTTTCTGACAATGAAAAAGGGTTTATTGGGCTGAATGACATTTAGGTTTGGAAAGGCCATACCTGCAGAAGAGTGGAGGTGAACATGATGGCGAGGGGGGGCACCAGCTCATACTGACACTGCTCCTGGGCCTGGATCCACACAGAGGGACAAACAGAGACTTTTAGCAAGCGTTGCATTGATATTCTTCCACCGGGTGACTGATCCAAGGCAGATCACCTCTCTGGTTTTCCTGATGATCTGCTGCAGGAGAATGAGGAAGTTCTCAGGATCTCTCTTCACAAGCTCCTCCAGGCTCCAGCGGTTCATCGACTGACCCGCTGAGCACATCAGCACTAAAGATACGACAGATGGAACAAACTTACATTATTCCCAGAAGATCATTCATTAGATTTATTTACAGATCATTCATTTAGTTTATTATGAACCAGTCTTATTGTTTGATTACGCCCAAAATAGTAAAAATGCATAGAAAGTTCAGCGGATGCCAGCGTTTTAGGAGACATACGCTGGATAAATCGACAAGGTGGGACAGGGGCCTTAACAGTCTTAATTTATTTCTTTCCCTGTGGCTAATTTATACCCAAATCCCTTATTTGGGGAACAAATTTCAAAGCTTTTCATTCTGCCTGAGATTAGTGAACATTTATCACTACAGACAGATTGACAGATTGACGGATTAACGGACTTTTCAGCAGCTCCACTAAAGTTAAGATAAACCCTAAACACAGATTAAGTATGATGACTGGTGTTTTTAAGCCTATATTTCTGTTAGCTATTCTACTTTCCCCTCCCAGTTAAAGAGAACAAGTTTTGTAGAATTAGAATATTACGCTTAAAACATTTTCAGAAAGAAATTTGGGCTGAAATAAATATTTTAAAAACCTCTTTAAAGATTTTTAAATCTGAAAACAAAGCCTCACTCAGGGGCAGATTTACCATTAGGGAATACTAGGCAGCTGCTTGGGGCCTAATTTTCCTGGGGGGCCCAGAAAACTCTGTTTACATGTGTGGTTAATATAATTATTCCTTATTTGTGCTCATTAATTATGTTTATGATGAAAATTCCCCCCTCCAGTGTCCACCATATTGGATCAGTCCATTTGCTGCACAT